GGGGGGGCAGAAAAAAAATCGACGACTTATCTGAACAATATTTGAAAGGGGAAAAAGGGTCTGTCCAAACTCAACATTTTCATTTCTTGGAAGGGGGGATTACAACTTTTCCAACAAACATATTTTGTATTATAAGACATTCCCATGGGATGATTTGACGTACGATACTGCAACAAAAGATGGAAGATGGGGCAAGGGCGTGCCTTTCAATGAATATTTTCAATGTTTGGGAAAAAAGTGGAAGGGTCCGACCCTCCTGATGCTACGTGACTGTATTATTTTACCTGTTGTGAATATGCTTTATTCATTTTAAATATTGTTTGTACAATGTCTGTAAAAATCTAACCACTGAGAAATATTCGTAAAAATTAGATAACAATTTTTCCGTATGAAGATGGATATAAAACCTTAGCCTTCCTTTGACTTTAGGTCTTAGTCGCCTTAATGTAATCCGAACCTCAATTAATTTCCAAAGATTTTCCTTAATCGTATCCTCTGAAGTGACTTGGTCATCGAGCCACTGGGAATATCAAGGGAAAAATTGAGACTCTCCTGCCTCATACCCTTCTGCTGCCCATGTAGATTCATATTTTAACGCTATATTATGTATAATACAAGAACGTGTACATGTATACGCTCCTGGGAAAATAGCATGCATAGAAAGGTTATAAGATTGAAAAGTTACCATTTAAAATTAAGCATTTGCACAATGAAAAGAACCCCAATCTACCAACATCGATTTTATAGGCTGTTCCATGAGACACACATTTTATAATTTTGGCTTTATGTCAAGAATACGAGGAGTGATTTTTTTTTTACTCTTTCCTATTAGCAAAAAACGCAAATTAGAATTGCATAAAGATAATGATAAGTTGCTTTATTTTTTAATCCTTAAAAAATCTGAGCCAAGTAAAGAAAATTGTGTTTTTCCTAAAACTTTTCTGCAGGGGTAAATTTAAATAATAATAAAAAAAGAATAGTGCAGACATCCGAGAAAATACTCGTAATGATTCTTTATGATCTTTATTCCAATGCCTGCAGCACTGAGTTACTTAAATCAGAGATATTTATGTTTCTGCTTAAATTGTGCTTTTAGGTAAAAAAAATTTTTCTTCGAATTTTATTTATTTATTTTTTTGAATAAGTTCTGTTTTATTTTACATACAATCTATATACGGTAATTATCAATTGACTATTAAGTACACATAAAAGTTAAGTTTTTGCCATTACATATATGCATTTAACGTGAATGTTTTCACTGTTTTCTTTCGTCAGTAAATCTTGGATCCACGCCTTGGCTGATACGTTTTGTGTATTTTGATCCCCGCGCGCTGACCATCATTTTACACAATAGCCTAGACACAATGTTTATACATGTGTATTTTAAAGACCACCACCACCCAAGTGAATCTACCTCTATTACCCTTAATGAACCCTGTGTAGTTTTACTTTAAGATGGACCATTTTGTAATAATAAGCTTAAGACAGAACGCTCAATTTTGTTTACATCTCTATATCATCATCTGGTCATTTGCCAGACCACCAGCTTATCGATGGCAGCTTACACTAGGTCTTCACTTCCGGATAACAAACTTAATGTGTCATCTCCCGAGGGAGATGACAATAATTACTGATAAGGAAACCTCTCGGGTCTCGCAAGATACATAACCAATCAATACACAAGTTCCAATAATGATAAAAAAAATAATTATTTTAACAAAACAATGGACCCTCTATACACCTTTTTAGTGTACCCAGGGAATCTTGAAAGACATCGTAGTAGTGATAAAGAAAAATCGCGGACGTGCTTTTCCAATGGCGTATATATTCCATATGTTGCCTACACATCATTTTCTTGATGTAAAATAAATATTTATTTATACATGTATTTTGCTGAAAAATGGAGAAAGTTGATCATAAATCGTATTTATTTACCAGTTATTAGAATATTTTTTCATCAAATGCAATAAAAGTATTTTTAGCCATCCATACTTTTATGCCTTTCCAATTTTTACAGCATACAAAACTTCTTATATAAATCTAAAATTGAAACGTTACCTTGAAGTCGATACTATTAAAAATTACAGCAACCTGGAGTCTACGATTAGGACAGCGAATAGAAATTAGGAAATATGTTTGGTTTAATAGGAAGTCAAACAAAAACACATTTTAAAAATATATATTTAGAATATATCTGTAAAGACGTTTCCAAAATCTTGTACGTGAAAAGAAGAAAACACGTACTGGCTGTGGCGTTCAACTCGACATTTAGATATATCGACGACGTATTGTCAATCAACAAAGGCTATTTTCATTCTTATGTCGATACGATATATCCTGGTGAACTTGAGATAAAAGATACCACAGAGTCTGACACATCTGTTTCATATTTGGATATTTTACTTGAAAAAGACGTTAATGGTAATCTAACAACCAAGCTTTATGATAAACGTGATGACTTTAACTTTTCAATCGTCAACTTCCCTTACTTATGCAGTAATATACCTTCATCACCTGCATACGAGGTATATATATCTCTCAGTTGATTCGATACGCAAGAGCATGCTCTACGTATGTACAATTTCTAAAACGAGGTAAATTATTGACAAATAAGTTGATGAAACAAGAATATCAGCTGTCTCGTTTAAAGTCATCATTTCGTAAGTTCTATGGTCGATACAATGACCTTGTCAGCAAATACAATTTATCATTGAGTCAAATGCTGACTGACGTTTTTCATACTAATTGTTAAGCCATTATTTACACACTGAATTGTCGACGGATTTTTCCGTTATTTCCCGATCATGACAAGGAGCACACGGCGGGTGTGACCGGTCGGCAGGGGATGCTCACTCCTCCATGGCACTCCTCCATGGCCACCTCTGATGTTTCGAGGTCCGTGTTTGCTCTGCTCCTATTTTGTATTGTATAATGGACTTTTGAGCTTGAATACTGTTCGTTATCTCCATATATTTCATTCCATAATTTCCAAGCACTATGTAAGGATTTTAATATATCTCAATTTTATTAAGAGTGGTCATGAAGATTTTAATTTCCGTATCATAAAAAATATGTTTAAATGATTTATAATAATATTCACTGGGAAAATGAAAATGATAGATGTCTCCAAGATCGCAAAAAGTGGTCCTACGACTCTCTCTCTCTCTCCCCCCCCCTATTGAGAGGGGCGACTCCCTCCTTGCCTATCCGCAATTCGGCAATGATGCGCTTTAGGTGAAATCTGTGACTTCACATTAGCCTACACATTAGCAGAAAGGAATATACGCAATTGTTTCCCAACAGGAGAAACACATAAGAATTAAGTTTTCAATTACTTATCTTGGTCTAAGGCTTTGAATACTTGAATTAATTAAAAATTATATATACAATACAGACTGGAATTTATTTTATTCGATATCAAATATCTAACTGCACAAATACACGCTTAAATGTAATGAAATGTATCCTTAATTAAATTACTGTGCAATGTATAGACGATCCTTAGTATTTCATATCATTAATAATTTTCTCCCTCATCAGTGAGCTTATCGAATAAATTATCGACCCACTAAATTTTTAATTCAACGATATGGCCATATAATATTCTATATATGTATCTATTGTTTTCTTTATTGAGGAAAATAAGATTTATATACATTTTTCAAAACGTTGCCCAAAACTCATATTTATTTTGTTTTGAAACATATAACATTTTTTCTTGCATTATTATTTAAGCAAATGACACATTTGTTATAAATATATTCAATGATTTCTTGATAGTAAAACCTTAGTAAAGGGGAGTAATCATTTATTGAATCCGCCTTTTGATTGGTTAGTTTGGATCTTGAATCTCGAAACTCGAATTTTGAATCTCGTATTTCGAAACTCGAATCTCGAATGAGCCTTCTGGGCTTTCGTAGTTTTCATATAGAATGGGTTCAGACTCCAATCTTTGGAAACATAAAAAAGATTTTATATTTACTTTTCCGTCATCTAAACATTAATGTAGAATGGAGACCTGACCCATTGATATTCAAAAATTACTTTTTCTGGCTCCTGAAAACTCATTTTCCTCTAAAATATGCTTACTGGTAACTTTTCAAAACGAATTATCAACCAATAAGTCATTCAATAAAATAAATGAATCACGTGTTCAAGATGCCATTACTGAAAATATAATTGTAGAAAATATAACTTTTCCTTGAACTTTGTAAATTTAGAAAATATTGCCTCAGAGTGGGGGATTGTACTCGGCTTGTACGCCCTCTTTCTTTACTGATAAAACTTGATGTGAATTGGAATGCCACAGAACGAGTCTTTTATTTCATGTAGTTTTTTTTAATTTTAGCGAGTTCTGCTTTTAAGAATATAAGTCGGCCAATCAATGAACATAATTTTTTGGTATGGTAATCCTGACAGACTGTTTGCAGATCTCGTCTTCAGAACTATTTAAATTTGAGAATGAGGAAATTGGAATATTTCCGCATGCCATTATAATGGAAATAGAGATAAATTTATTTGAAGTTTCAAAGTATTTTTTTTACTTTGGACAAAAACGGAAAACTGTAGAGAGTGAAAAAAAAAATTACGTCATGTGCATAAACATATTGTTTGTTGTTAGCTAATTCAAAGTATTTCCTGTAAATGAATTGAAAAAAAATTAGCCGCCAAAACCTGGATGAATTATTTTAAGTATAGATGTTATTATATCTCATTTCTGCAAAAGTGATTTTCAATTAGATATGTCCATCATATAGGTTTTTAATACCGTACTGTAAAAGGGTTTCCAAAAACTTTTGGAATTTAAGTATGAATGTAAAAGAAGTCTCACAAGCAGCAAATGATTTTTGAGGATGTCTTCTCTGAACATGTCAACCATCATGTAAGAACAAATTTACTAACATCATAGTAATATGAAGTATTGTAATATTTACTGTTTAACTTTTTTATTCACTACGTTTTCTCATCTTAGTAAGGAGGGAATACAGCACATGTCACAAATGGTATTTGTGGGACTCTGTAGCAAATTGGGGACCTCGGAACAAGTAGCTATGAGGAGAGATGTAGTTGATTTCAGGGAAATGATGATTTTGTTCAGTGAATCTAATACCGATGTTCGTATAATATTCAGTGGGAGTCATAGAGAAGGATTCAGACTGAATGAGTCTGACAGGGACTTTATGATCTCTCTTGATAACTATCGAGTAACCTGGAATTTATCTCAGACTCAGTATTACAACAGACATACACTGGTTCTCTCTGACCGCTCTGAAAGTCCACCAGGATTCACGTTACTTCAATTACTCTTACCAGCCGTAACAACAACACAAATCTGGTCAGCATGCTTTACAATGCATGGAAAACTGTATATATCCAGTTCCGGATTTCGAAATAATATGTATTTACCATCCAGACCCGATTCCCATGTTCATGGACCCTGTCGGAGTGGAAATTGGAAAGGAATAGAGTTTGATGATGCTCACTGTTTTGCAAGTGATTTCTGGCCTCCATCTGCCTTAGCATGGATCGATAGATGTCGCTCGTGGCCGAGTCCTCATGTAGTTGATGATATTGTCAGGAATGGATGTCACTTTGTAGCAATAGGGCACAAGCAAGGAAATCACGAGGAAAACGAATGGAGAATTTCATTTTCTCTTGCAGAGCAAAAGCTTGTATACACAATGAACCACTGTCAGTTTCTCACGTATGGTTTACTTAAGCTTATTTTAAAAGAAGTCATCAAGGAAAAGATAGAAGAAAGTTTACTTTGCTCTTATCATATGAAAACAGCAGTATTTTGGGTGATTCAGCAAAATTTAATACCTCATTGGTATCCACAAAATCTTCTGGAGTGTTTCTGGGTCTGCTTTAAACTCCTTCTTAAATGGGTGTATGAAGGCGTATGTCCTAACTTTTTCATTCCAGAAAACAACATGTTTTTAACTAACATATTTGGTGAATCTCAAAGGAAGTTATTCCTAGAGTTATACCGACTGTATGAGAAGGGTATATCATTACTACTACACAGTCAATCCGTCAGATCCTTTACTATAGATTTTCTCTGTAATCCCAGACAATGTATTTCTTTAAATCAGCGAAGTGCTGACTGGGAGGTTGTTTTTGAATCAGAATTATTTAGAGAGATATGTAATAACGATGCAATATTTACACCAAACTTTGACTGCTGCTTACAGCTCCTACAATCGATGGAAACATTGATAATTTTAAGTCTTAGAAACTATAAAAATTATCAAATTCTCATGGCACAGAAACTCACGGTCAGCATTTTCCAGAACACAGCTTTTATGTTACACAGCAGGTGCGCTAATATTTTAATGAACAAGTTCATGTATAAAGCTGACAAGATATCATGTTACATGTTGAAACTAGCAGCAAAATTGGGGTTTATTTCTGATATCTTGTACCTTGCAATGTATTATTACAAAACATTTAGAAACACCAAAACAGTAAATATCCTAGAGATAGCAAAGATCAAGTTTGCGCGACCATATCTTATGTACATGAGTGATGTTGAAATCATGGGATATTGCGAGGTAGGTAGAGGACAGTCTTATTCTACAAAGATGAGGAGTGTTGTTGGACGGGACATCGATCTCTCTACAAACATCCATTATATTAATGAATTAATACATGAGCAGCGTCTAATGTGTCACATCGAGGGTACCATACATGTCTCCTCATTTGTAATGTTACACATGATAGAATTCTTATGTTACAGACATTCTGACGAACATCGTGCGGAAGTAGCCTTATATGATTTGAAGAATTTAGTTGAAGACGGAATTCTGATTCGCCCCTGTACTAGAGACATATGTTGGCAGATCTTAGGAATTTGTCAACAGCTCAGAGGGGACATTCCGACTGCATTGTACTCGTATCAACAAGCACTAAGACAGTACCCCTATCACAACCTACAAAATGTCACAATGTTGAGGATACGAAGTCTTTATTAAATCATTTGACGAACTACAATTGTCCCAACGATGATGATTTAACGCCTCCGAATTCCTACAACACAAAGACATCCGAAATGTTTTACCCGAATGTTCTTTTGAAAGAAATTGACTTAACCTACCTTCATAAAAAAATCCTTACAAGTAAAGATACAGCGAGGTCTAGCAAATGTTTTACCAAGCATCTTTTACTCCTTACGAAACTATTAACAGCAGTAAAAGGGACTCTTAAGCAGTACTGTAAAACAACATATCGAAAAGTGTTTCTTTTTAAAATTTTGTTTGCATTAATATGTTTACCCAGTATAAATAACATTTAGAAACACGATACAGAAAATTAAAAATATTCCTAACAAATTACAGTAGTCTTATGAATTTTTCTGTATTTTTGCAATGTTTAATAAGTTGACACCAAAGGACGGTTCATTGTTTAACAAGCTTTTATATCTTATAATAAGTTTTTTCCTCAAGATTTTCAAGTCTACAAAATATATTATATATTTAAAAAGGAAAGAAGAGAATAAAATAATTCAATGTGTATATTTTCTAATTGCATTAAATAACCATTAATTATTTTTTCCATGAATGTTTATTTTGAAAACATAGCATATCATAGTCAAATACGTTTAACATTTTTCTCAAATATAAGATGTTGCATATCTTCTTTTTCACACAAAAAAGAACATTTGTTTGTAGATTCTTTTCTCCGCTTATGCTCATTTTGTAGCAATAGGGCACAATTTCACATTTTCAGATTTCAACGATACAATACCCCCCCCCTTAAAAGAAATAAAATAACACTTGTTCTTTTATAGTTTTAATTTGTTTTCGTCCATCAATATTATTCATTAGCTGATATAATTAAATATTGTTTCGACAATTTTATATTTGTCTTTCAGCAGATTTATTTACCTATTTCATCAATGGTATCAATGGTTTTAAACTATTAGCAGCAAATAAATCTTTCAAATGTTTTATATTTTCAAATAAATCTTAAAATTATTTTATATTTTCACCCACTTTTTAAAGTAAAGGAGCTTACCATTAAATAAAAACAGATTGTTGCAAAATTTGATTAATGTCCATTTCAATTAATATTTGTACTTTTTTGCAGTGACAAAAATTAACTAATATTTCTTTATAGAATCGTAGAAGTTTTGTAAAAAATACAAAGATTTGCAAGTCAATGCAATTCATTTTACATGATTGACTTTCTTATCAAGGTGAGTTCGCAAAAAGAATGTGTTCAGAGGTTAATATTTAGTCACTATATCTACAACCCTAATACCGCCTTTATCTTTTTTACTATTATGCATTGATCAAGTAGACGTAATATTCCTTACTAAGAGCATGCTCTTGAGTATCGAATAAGTTGAGAGACATGAACACCAGATGAAAGAGTAATATTACCACATAAACAAGGAAAGGTGACGACAGAAAATCTGAAGTCTCGTTTGTCTTAAAGTTTAGATGTTATATGGCCCTTTTCGTTGACAGTTGGTAAACCATCCAAATGTTGGCGTTTTTTCACTTTTAATGAAAATTGATTTTTTTGTCTATGTTACTCTTGATCAATAAAAGTTAAAAGTAATGATGACACTAATATTTCTTCAATGCAGCTTATTCCCTATTAGCGAAATGTCTACCTGGGAGTAAATCATAAATGGGATAATTGGATGTTTATACAATGTAAAAATTGAACATAACGAAGAGGGATCATCAGTCGCATAAATCCAGTAAACAAAACGAATTGTTAACAGGACAGCACCAGGCGAAGTGCCTAAAGGGGAATAAACATTCCCTGTCGACCAGTCACATCCACCCTTAGCCCTTTGCATTGATCAGGTAGACGGAATCAGGATTCAGTAATCAAAGTGACAACGAAAAGGTTTCAAATTACTTCACAGTCAATTGTCTGAGTTTTCTGCACTCAAAAAAGAAGAGATTTTTCTGGTATTAACAATTTTACAAGCAATAAAATCATTTTAAAGTATTAGGATTTCACAGATTGATTAAAATCGCATCTTATATATTCAGAAAAGAAACTTAAAAGTGGGGTCTATGATCTAATTTTAGATATTACTAAAATAGTGCTAATTTTTAGGTTAAATTGGGATTATTTTTTCTGAGCTTTCACAATATATTGCTATATTTGTCACATGATGATGATAGAATTCATAACAGTTAATTTAATAAACAATTTGGTAGCACACGGTGGGTGTGACAGGTGGGCAGGGGATGCTTACTCCTCCATGGCATCTGAACATTTTTATAAGAATTTATCGGAAAAGACAATTACAATTGAAAAGAACAGCATTGCAACAATAAGACATTCCAATATACAAGCATCGTAATGCAGTTTACATTCTGGTTTGAATCAATGACCTTGGTTTTATGTGTGGGAACAATTAAGAGTCCCATTTTAGAAGTAGGAAAACTTTTAAACCTTAACAATATACTTAATAATAGTACTGCGATAAAAGTCTTCAATTTTCATGATAATTTTTTTTTATTTTATTGCCATTTTTCATACGTATCAATGGGCAATATGAAAACCATCTGTCCATCTGCCTTCAGTGATTCAAAAGGGAAAAGAGAATACTATAGATTACACGATCAGTATGTATAGTGGTCCCAGCTGAGAATCTGTTGGAATTCCCATGGATACCAATTGCAACCCCCTATGTTTGTATTTATATGAAGCAGAATTTATCCTAAATCTTATGCATGAGAAAAAGAAAACTCTTGCTGTGGCCTTCAACTCGACATTTACATATATATTGACCACGTATTATCAATTAACAAGAGTTATTTCCATTCATATGTCGACTTGATAATTATATCCCAGTGAGCTTGAAATAAAAGATACCACAGAGTCTGACACTTCTATTTCATATTTGGATAATTTACTAGAAAAAGACATTAGTTGTAACTAACAAAATAGCTCTTTGATAAACGTGTTTTCAACTTTTTAATCGTCAACTTCCCTTACGTATGTAGCATTATACTCTTATTACCTGCATATAGGGTTTATATCTCTCCGTAGATTCGATACGCAAGAGCGTGTTCTACGTAAGAACAATTCTTAAAACGAAGTAAGTTATTGAAAAATAAATTGATGAAACAAGAATATCAACTGTCTCGTTTAAAGTCATCAGTTCGCAAGTTCTATGGTCGATTCAATGACCTTGTCAGCAAATACAATCTATCATTAAGTCAAATGCTGATGAATATTTTTCATACTAATTGTAAGCCAATTATTTACACACTGAATTATCTATGGATTTTTTCGTGATATCCCAATCATGACAATGAGCACAGGGCGGGTGTGACCGGTGGACAGGGGATGGTCACTCCTCAACAGCACCTGATCCCATCTCTGATGTTTTAGAGGTCCGTGTTTGCTCTTCTCCTGATTTGTATTGTTTGAATGGACTTCTGAGCTAACAAACAGTATTCGGGCTTAAATGTCTTTAAACATTACAAAAAAGGAGCAGAGCAAACACGGACCTCTAAGACATCAGAGGTGGGATCAGGTACCATGGAGAGGAGTGAGCATCCCCTGCTGACCAGTCACACCCGCCGTGTGCTCCTTGTCATGATCGGGAAATAACGGGAAAATAAGTCGACCATAATGTTCGTTATCTCCATATATTTCATTTCAATAATGTTTTCTTTTTGGAAAAAGAGCGGCCCTTTTAAAAAAAAAAAGTATCGCCTTCCGACTTGTCCAAGGAAGTCCAGGATTTCATTAATGATGCAGTAAAGAATAGGAAAAAATTTAAGAGACTTGATTTAAATCAGGAAAAAATCATTTTTCCTCCATCCACAGGAAAATATAATGGAGATTACACAGACTTAGATATATCTTTGTTGTACTACCTCCTACGTAATCTTTGTCAAACTATATCTCCACCTTCAAAAGGTTGGGGAAATATTCCAGATCCAAATGACAGAAGTGTTGCCGCCAACATAGAAAGAATTCGAATACTTAGAAATGAATGCTATGGACATACCGCTGATCTCTCACTATCAGAGGCAGGCTTTAACAAGAATGGCAAATTCTCCGGGACGTTGTTGTGGAATTGGAGCAATATTTAGGTACAACTATATTTCAGGTTGATGTAATCGAGATTAAGACGTGTTCAATGGATCCAAAAGAAACGAAAAAATACATTGATTTACTAGGAAATTTAGTAGACCTCCAGAAATCATTAGACCATTTTTTAAGGTAATATATTGTCTACTTATCAAGGTATGTTTCAAATGATTGTTAAACAAAGAAAAGCTTAATTTGCTTTGCTCAAAACGTTAAAAAAAGTTTTTCTACAGACATTGCAGAAAAATGACCCTCAATGACAGTTAAAACTTGTGTTAAAAGAACAGAAAAATATACATTTATTTATTATTATTATTTTATTAAGCATTTCCTTTTCTTTTAGATCCCAAGGTTTCAAGAAAAATAGGTAAGGGAATGGAAGCTTTGTATAATATTTAATCTAATAAGAAATCAGACAAAGCAATTTCATTCAGAACTATCACCATATACAATTTCATGATCACGATTCATGGTTTAACATAACAAAAGATATTAATTTCATTTTTACCTTCGCCAATCTTTATTAATACTTATCATGCCAGTAAAAATATTTTGCCTTGCATCTCTTTAACGTATTTTTAATCACCCAAATCGTCTAGATTACTAAAAATAACACTAGGAAAAATACTCGAAACTTGAGCTTCTGATAAATATGAAATAGTTATATCGCAAAAAGATATGTAATCAAACATATATCTACTTTAGAGTTAGTAATGATATGGATTTTAAAAAGTAGAAATTGAAATGAGAAGATTATTTTCTGATTACTTATTCGTGCTATATCATATCTGTTTCATATTTGGATATTTTACTTGAAAAAGACGTTAATGGTAATCTAACAACCAAGCTTTATGATAAACGTGATGACTTTAACTTTTCAATCGTCAACTTCCCTTACTTA